CTCATCTCTCCTGCCTGTCCTTCCTAAAGAACCTGTATCCTTCCATTCCAACACTCCAGTCATAGGGGCCATTCCACCACATCTCCGTGATGCCAATGAGATCACAGTCCTGCAGGCGTGTGAACATCTCTAACTCCTCTCATTTATTCCCCATGCTAAGTGCGTTTGCATAGAGGCATAAGCTGGGCCCCCAGTGAAGCTGACCTACTGGCTGGAATTCCTTTGTGTTGCACTTCAGGTGCTCTCCTGCTGACCTGTGATCCTTGTCCAGGCTCTGGGCGTCTATTGCTGGCACTGGCATCAAACTGGTAGGAGTGGGATGGATTGAGGTTCCCCTCCTCTGGCAACTTCAGTTTAAAGCCTTTTAGTAAGAAGCCAAACTTTTCACTTGTAGATGAAAACTTGATCACTCTTAAAACATCAAGCAGAAAGCTTTGATGGGTGGAGAGAGTTCCCCACTGGGAAACAATATGGAAATTTTAAACTTTTCTGTAAGCTTTGAGCAGGAGAGGAACATATAGACCATGATGAACTGCAAAGGACGACACAGCCTGTAAAAGGGGCAGGCTGCTGCTGAAGAAGGAGGTATCAGCCTGTGAAAAGTTAGAAAAAACTCAGAACATAAGACGTACCTCTCACAATGTGGTACTACATATAGCCGCCTACTTCATTTTTAGTTTTGACAGAAATGAGATTGCTATGTGGTTATTTCCCGTGATATCCATATGAAATAGGAAATGTAGTGAAGTATGGCTCAGAGCTGCTGAGGAAGGGTTGGTGTTTCATTAGTATCAAGTATGATTGCATAAACAGGTCTGAAATTGAAGGCTGTGCTAGCAAAGGAGTGAAGCAAAGTGAAATGCAAACAAAAATATTGCCATAAACTAAACAGCAAGACAGAAAGGCTATGGGTTCTTTTCAAAAAGTTGAGGAAATCAGCTTCCTCCACTTTTTCCAATTCTTCAAAATTGAATCTAACACTGAATGAAATTTTTTCTACTTAACAAAAGTATGGAACATTGATGCTTCTCTAAGTGTAGCATTTGCAATACCATCATCATTGCTGAAACATAACCTTAATGATAATTTAAGCCCCTCTTACAGGTCTTTCAGCTGCTCTTGAACCTCATCTATTTTCAGGAGCAATCTGCTCATCTTTGACACCCCAGAATGGCAGAAATCAATGTGTTATTATGCTGTAAGAACAACTGAAAAGCAAAGTCTTGAACTTGATAAGAAAACTATAACCTTCTTTTATGTTCACAACTTTGCCTTCCACAAAATGTAATTTAAAGAGAGAATTTAAGAACTTTATCTTGGAAATACTCCTTCCTCCAGGCAGATTTAGCTCACAGATCTTCTACTAGATTCTGCCACTAAGAAAATATTAGGAAAAAAATAAAGGAATGATAGGAAGATCCAGCATCGACTTCACTGCTAGAAAAGTGTTCAGTTATGATAAATAGACCTCCAAGGGCCACACAGGAAGAAATATATACTCAATAATCATGAGTCCCAAAAAGAAACCACAGAATTGCAGCAAAACACTTGCTAAAAATGACATCCCAAAATTTTGAAAAAGATGGTTGAAATGGGGAATAAAGTTTATGGTTAGGGAAACAGTGATGGATATTCAGAAAAGACAATACACTCTGAAAAGATTTTTAAAATCTATGAGTCTAACTCTCCTTTCACTCCTACCCAGCTAAGCTTGCCTCGGTCTGGCACCTGGGTTAGGTGGGCCGCAACTGTATACTGGGATAGACACGGATAAGGCAAGTAAATTAATAAAAGAATGTGTGAGGCTAAATCTCAAGCAGAAAGGTTAATACTTCCAGCACATTTTTAATTACAGAATTGCAGATTTTTCACTTGTGATTTGTGATTCATCTTATAAAGCATAAATTTACAGTTCACCGTATGTATTTTGTTCTTCCACAATGAATCTACAAGATTTTTTTATAGCTTTTCATTGTGCTAACAGTATGTTCCCAGAAGTAAACTGATTTATCTTTCCCCCCGCCCTGCCCCTCCCCCGCCAACAAATTGAAGAAAATCACAGTTCTGCTGTTCAACTCACTGAAGGTGAGTCTTTATTCAGCAAAATGAGTGTGCTGACCTACCCAGGTCTGGGCACCAGACAGGAACAGAGCAGAATACATATACAAAGACACAACCCCCCCTTCGGAACTCTATATTGTACCTGAGGTAGCACTGCTGGTCCTTGTCCTGCCAACCTCTGCAAGGAGCTGACCTGAGGAACCTTAATGGGCACTGCAGTGATAGTTCCCAAAGTCTGTTGGAAGAAAAACAGTTGAACAGAGTTTAAAACGCTTGCACAGCTTCCCCCGATAGTCTCTGCCCTACCCAGCAGCTCCCCTTCCAGCTCTTTGTCTCTTCCCTACTTATGACGGAAGGGCATGATACACAAGTCCATCTGAAGCTCGCTCTCTCCTGCTAAAGTCTCAGAGATTCTTCCTTCTCTTTAACCTTCTCTACAAAGCACTGTTAACTAAAGCCTATCGTCTCCTTAGAGCATTTGGTAATTCTCAGTGCAAAGGATACATGTCATTGTTGTGAGGTTTTTTTGGTGCACAAAGAAAATACAAGTGTGCTGCCATGGCTGAAGGCTGTCTAGGCATTAGCTTGTTTTCCAAAGAGATCTGAAGAAAGGTGAAACGCACCACAGTGAAACTTCAAAATGTGCATTGTTAAGATGATGCATTTCACAGTAGCCAGGGTCACAAAAGAAGTTCACTGTGACTTAGCAAATAGTAAATACCGAATTATTAAAACTGAAAGCTACATATAAATCTACTACAGCACACTGTAACATAATATTCAGCTAAGACAACATCCATTTAGGCCAACACAGCAGATGTTACTATCCATGTTTATCTTCCCCACTCACCCTTCTCTTAGTTGTATAACAAATTTATTCAAAGCTTATTTAAGATAGAATAGACTATTTCATTTGGAAGGAACCTACAACAGTCATCTAGTCCAACTGCCTGACCCATTCAGGGCTGACCAAAGTCAAAGCATATTGGGGCATCAACTACCTCTCTAGGAAGCCTGTTCCAGGGTTTGGCCACCCTCTCCATAAAGAAATGGTTCCTAATGTCCAATCTAAACCTCCCCTGGCGCAGCTCTGAACCATTCCCACACGTCCTATCACTAGATCCCAGGGAGAAGAGCTCAGCACCTCCCTCCCCACGTCCCCTCCTCAGGAAGCTGCAGAGAGCCATCAGGTCACCCCTCAGCCTCCTTCTCTCCAAACCAGACAAGCCCAAAGTCCTCAGCTGTTCCTCATAGGACATTCCTTCCAGCCCTTCACCAGCTTTGTTGCCCTCCTCTGCACACATTCAAGGACCTTCACATCCTTCTGAAATGGTGGGGCCCAGAACTGCACGCAGTGTTCAAGGTGCAGCCGCACCAACGCTGAGTACGGCGGGATGATCCCCTCTTTTGACCGGCTGGTTACGCTGTGTTTGATGCTCCCCAGGATGAGGTTTGCCCTCTTGGCTGCCAGGGC